AGCCACGGGTTGTTCTGGACGCTGCTCTGATTCATGCAGGACAGCCCCTGAGCAGGTGCCGCCTTCCTGTCCTTGCATCAGTGCTAGACGGGAGCTCACCACAGATTCTGTTCACATTTATATTTATAAAGTGCAATAATTCCCACCTACCCATCTTATATGTAAACACCAATACAATTAACATTGAGGGATCTACGTGCACACATATTATAAACTATAATTTTCCACACAAGGAAAAGTACTATGGTTATTTTGGTTACTGTTTGAGAGGAAAACATTTCGATAGATACCTTGCCTTGACCTCTTTGACACACAGCGACTACAACTCAAGCCAGCCGGGGTGCTAGAAATTAGAGAAGTTTAACTTAGCATTTTTTCAAGTGGAGGAAAGCTTTAATTAAAATGGCTATGGTTTAACTTTTCATTTCTTTAGGCATATTAATTATTAAAACATTAATGCTTGGTTAGGCCAGTGCAGCAATTAGTTTGTAAGACATTGTTTGGTATCTTGAATTGCACTTAAAAATTAATTAACTTAGAAACTTTCCATAACTCCAGCTGGAAGATGGATGGGGCCTGGCAGGGTCCCGTGAACTCCTGGTGTAACATCAGGAGTTCGCATGTCCTCCTCCGTTATTAGAAGGCCCACGTCATGGTCTGTGCTGGGAGAGGCCAAAAACAATCAAGTCTGCAGTGCATGGAATTTATATGCATGTGTGTTAAGAGAACGACTTGACAGGCGCATCAATTAAACTGCAAGTTGCATCGTGTTGGAAAGATCTTTACACTAATTAATACAGCGAATCACTCTGGAGTTGAACCCTAATTTGGCTGTGGTCTTGCTTTTTCATCCAGGGCAAGTTATTGGGCATCTGAGGACTGGGAAAGCATGGCGCCCAGTGTGCAGGACCGGCTGGCGGCTGGGCCCAGGGGTGTGAAGCCAGGGGCACAGAGGCACGTGTGGCAGATGCTGCCCACGATGCTGGGTGCCGCATTCCTCTTGCATCTCGCTCAGCAGGGCCTGCGATGGTTCCTCCCTCACTCCACACAACCCACGCAAGTCCCAGCGGGGCCAGGGGTCTTGCTCTCTCCTGCACACTTTGATGTGAGGTTTATGCAGGTTTCGCTTTGCAGCTGGGGGGCTCCTGGAGTTGCCCTCTGCCTGCTGTCTTCCCACCTTGGCGGGAGCTGAAGCAGAGCAGAGCAGAGCAGAGCAGAGCAGAGCAGAGCAGAGCCGGCAGGGGACCGACAGCCCAGCCAGGTGACTCGGCCTCTGGCTCCCAGGTCCAGGCTCACACAGGGCCCCACTCAAGCAGCTGCACGTGAGGAGCTCTGTCCCCTGCCCTCTTCCCCAATCTTTGAGCAGAGGCCCTGGGACGCGTGCAGAGGGAAGTCAGAAAAGCAGCCGCTGCTGTCCGAGTTTGTGCCCTTCACCTCCGGTAAAGGTCGACTGTTTCCTGTTAGTCTGGCTCTGGGATGTGCCATTTCAGTCACGTGGGCGAGTTAAGGTCCCTACTTCTAAGCCTTTTCCTTGAGGTAAGAGCCAAAGCCATGTTTTGGGATTAGGGCAGCATCCAGCAAAAGGAAGGAAAGCTCCCTAAAGACAGCAGACTGCAAGGTTCCTAGAGTCACTCCCACCAGATTGCAGAGAAGGCAAAGGGAGAGCAAAGCTCACCAATCCTGCGCCTGCTCTGTGCTCTCAGCTGTTTGGGGATAAAGTGAATCTAATGAGGCCCCAAAGCCACTTTCATTTGTCAGGATGTGAATCCGCAGGCCCTCTCCGCATGCTGTGTAACACAATCCCATCCATAAAACATTTCTCATTCCTCTGAGGTGGGGACATCGCAGAGGACCCGTGCTGCTCCAGCCGGGAAGTGACGCTCCTGACACCACCCTGAACCCCTGGAAGCAAGCAAGACTGACTGAGATAAGCCAGTCCTCGGAGTGTATTAGCTGACCCAACCGGCCCGGCCACGGAAAGGCGCGCTGCTCCTACACACAGAGGGGCCTTGCGTGGGAACAGCCATGTGTTCCTGGAGGACTGTGTTCAGTGAAGACCGGGTGGGGATGGTCAATGTCCCTCGCTCTGCAGGCAGCTCCAGTCCGACCTGACCTTCTCTCCCCTGACACGGAAGGAACAATTTGCCTGCTGCTCTACAGAGTGCTGGGCAGGACTCCTCTCCTTCCGCCACACGTGTGAAGATGAGTGACATGAGCAGAAAAGGAAGAGGGGCATCACATCGGGTATTTTGGGTTTGTGCAAAGAAAAACGCTTCCAAAAAAAGGTTCGAAGTACGGCCGGCAAATGGACAGAAGTCTCTCCAGCCCTCGCTGAGCCCTTTGGCAGGAAGACAGTGGTCTCAGCAAGGACAGACCCGAGGAGTTACCAACGTCGCGGGGGGATTCGGGCTGGTAGAGCAGGAGCACAGGCGTGAACTTCAAACTAAAACCTAAATCCCAAACTTCTTTTGGAATAGGACGTGGAATTGTTCTACTTCTGAAAAATTATTGTTAGCAGTGAATGATATAATCTGTGTCTGCAGGAACATTGAGTTTTCTCTAGAAACTGTGACTTCACTGGGGTGCTGAGGGAGTGCTGTTTGAGGAAACCATTCAGCTTGACCCGGAGGGGCTTTGAGAGCCACCTGACTTGGTGTTGCTAATGGGACAGAGAAAATAACTTTTAATCAGTTTCCCTTAAAAATGTAACATTTTTTAGTGATAATCCTATTACAGGAATGGATACCAGGTTCTGTATCAAACACATGTTGGAAAGACTAAAAATCCAAAAAGTAAATTAAAAGGGATTCTATTTTAAAGGTTAAAAAAAAGAAAGAGTATGAAGGTAAGAAAAAGGGACAGAGAGAACCCTGAGGAGCTGACACTTGGGGATTTCCTGCCTACACTTTTAGTGTCCTGACAGCCAAAGTGTCTCATGGACACCAAAGGGTAGCACACACAGCAACAATGCCTGCAGGGAAGGCGTCTGAATCTCCGCTGGCACCTGTTTAAAGATCTGTGTGATAACATTCTCCACGGAGGGGGAGAGAAGTTTAGAAGCCCATCTCCAGAGAAAGAAGGCTGCAAAACAATGTGTATAGTTTCACACACCTTTGTGAAAATATATTCATATTCTAATACTCAGCAAAATGTTCTGCTTTCTGTGGTGAGATCATGTTTTTTTCATTTTCCTTTGTATATTTTTCCTTTCTCCATAAAAATGCATATTATTTCTATAATCCTAAAAAGAAATAATGAATCAGAAAAATAAAGTTTTCCTGTTCGATTCTTTCAAATTTTCTGGGGTGTTTCCACAATAGAGGTTGAAATATATCACTATACGTGGGGTTCACTGTGGTTGATCCAAGTCAAGGATGCTTCGAGGTAAGCTGCTCCCTACACACACGCACATGCCCCGTAGTGTGAAGCCATGGTGGGGGAAGTGGGCTCCTAGCGGGATTTCCAACCACAGAGCATTTCGTCATGCAGCCAGGTCAGGGGCAGGCCCTACCGAGTTTACCCCACAACACTGTTCAAGGCTGAACAAATGGAAAACTGAGCAATGCAAGTCAGAGCAACAAGTGACCCTGTCATATTCTAAACCAACAGCCAGGTTTATTTCCTTTGTGTAGAAGCTTAATTTCAGTGGTTGGCGCTGAGGTCACTGCCAGCGTGAAGCTGGGAACCCTTGCAGGTCATGCACAGCAGCGGCCATGTGAGGAGGAAAGAGAAGGCCTAGCAGGGAAGAAGCCAGGGGTTCCCGCCCTGGACGGGTCCCGCGCTGTGCCCTGGATGGCCCCTCAGGCTTTGTGACCCTGGACCTCGCCTGCGTCCCCTTCCCTCCTCTGACAGGCGGTGGAGAACCAGCAGCTCTCCAAGGGCCTCCCTGGTATGGAACGGGGCAGAAGCCGGGGTACCAGCTCTGTGGGCTTCACTGACCTCTACCACACAAGTCTTTAACAGGGCAGAGTGCACAAGGCTGAAACCCAACTTCAGGCCACCCAAATACTCAGGAGGATGAGATTAAACACAATTAAATGCCATCAAGGACAGGACTGTGGCACCATGGACATCAGTGCTCTGACTGAGTTGTCCCTCACCAGTGTGCATGACTTCAAACACGAAGACAAGGATTAAAGGGCATTTCCAACCCCTTATTATCAGAACCCAGGGCCAGGACCCTGATGCCTACTGCATTGCCCGAGAGGATGCATGGCTCCTAAAGCACAGGGGCGGCCACCTCCGCAGAGCTACCCGAACAGCTAATTATGTCCGGAGTCAATGGCTTGAAATGAGAAACAAGACAGACAGCCTCTTGATTAGCTTTAAAGGCAAATAACTTTCTGGAAAAAATTAAAAATCGTGGTCTCTTTAGGGCAAGATCCCTGAATTCAGCCATTTTCTTATTTCATAAAAGTTTAAGAGTGAGCTAAGTGAAAATCCAAGATGCTCTATTTGCTCTTATTATAAATTTTGATTCTGCTAAATGTCAATATTTTATGTCACCAAATTTAGCCAGAGTCAAAGTATTTTGCTTTTGTATGTTAGGATTCCAACAACTGAACATTAGAAAAATCAATGCTGTCCTAGCAAGCAAGCGTCTCAAGATTGCAAGCAACAGCATCTGCTGATTTTGGACATATTTACTCTATGTGCCCTAAGACTTCCTTCCTGTCTGTTTAAAAAATTAATTTGCCTCTACATTTCTGTTTTTATTCAGCACTGGAAATTAAACCCAGAGCTTTTGCCCTGAGCTTCCTCCTCACGCCTTTCCATGCTTTATTTTCAGACAGGATCTCGCTAAGTCTCTGGGTCCCCAGCCTGGACTCTAATATGGGACTCTGCTGCCTCAGCCTCCCAGAGTGCTGGGTTACTGGTGTGAGCCACCACTCCCAGCTGTAGTTCTTTTTTGGAAACCAACTCAATCTTAATTTTCTAAAGCGTTGGCAGAGACATAAATGGGTACACACATAGGTGGTGCTGAAGAAAGCAATCCTCACCTGTTTTTTTCATGAATTTTTAGAATTTCATTTGTCTGTTGAAGAAGCTGCTTCTCTAGTTTGTACGTTGACAATGAATTCTCCAGCAGTTGTATTTCAAGTCGAGAAGTCTGGTTTAGTACCTTAACATAAAAGATAAAAACATTTTCAACTTCAATCACAAATCAAAACATACAAAAGAATTGATTTTTCTTTAGCTTTTGTCCTTACATATTTCCTCAAGGGTAATTAATTATGTAGTATATTTTCTACCAACTATGGCTTTATCCATTTCTTAAACATACTATCAGTTCGAAATGGGAGTTGTGGTTGGGAACACTGGATGGTTGAATCTATTTTCATGCTTTAATCTTTGTGTTCTGAAACTGTAGCATAGTCTACTCTGCCAGTGGCTACTGTATTTTATCTCTAATGTTTCTCAGTGTGGAGTGGGTATTTGCACAAGGTTTGAAATACTGTGGGTACTTAGAATAACCGATGGGCATATGAGATACATCTGTCCAGACTGGTCACAACACAGCTCAGGAGGACTGGAGATCACACATTCACTGATCATGTATCATGTTGGACCGTGCCATCCCTCTGGATGTCCTATCACTCCCTAGATATGCCCCTCATGAGGCAGAGTTGTCACTCCCACTTTAGAAATGAAGAAACTGAGGTTCAGGGAGAGGCCGCATCCTCAGAGGAAGCCAAGAAAAAGCTTGGCGTGATTCTGCCATTCTATGTGGCGCCTAGGAAAGGCAGAGGCTCAAGTGCTGGGCTTCACCTGGGAACTGAGCCTGCGCCGAGGACGGGTGGCCTTCATCCTTCCAACTCCATGGCTTGGATCCTCCGGAAAGTAAACACCCACCCCGGTGGGTCCTGCAGACCCATGCTGCTGGCCAGGCCCCAGCTGTGCCCAGCCCTCCCCCTGTGGAGTCACCCTGCAGCCCCGGTCACTGTTCCCCATCTCCACCCTCCGCAGCAGCATATTTAGGGCAGGGAAGAGGCGAAGGAGTTTTAAAGCTCCTCTCTCACTTGGACACTCACAACCATCACATCTCTCTCCCCTCTTTTTAGAAGACTTCTGGGAATACTTTGCCAGGTCCATGTCCTGTGCAGGCAGGGGCAGCTCACGAGCAGGAGGGGCAGGAAAGCCTTTCCAGTCACACCTGTGCTGTGGGCTGGGCTGGTGACAGGAGGGGACACACCAGGATTAAAGAACACGGTAAATACTGGCTCACAGTGGGAGACACATTAGCAGATGATTGCCTTAGTTTCTTAAAAATGTCTATCTCAGAGGAAAAAGGGGAAAGACTACTTCAGATTAAAAGAAACAATTACAAATTGAAAAATAGAACATCTATAAAAGTTCTGGTGGAACCATAAAGAAAATATGACTGTAAATTAGATAGTCTTTGAAAATTATCATTCATCTCTGTCATGATATAGCAATGTATAATCAATGCCATACGCCTAGTATGTATGACATTTTATACCTATATATAATGTACGGTATGTTTAAAGTATGACCTCATTATATTTGAATACATTTTAACAGAATAACACAACTCTCTAGTCCACTAGGCTCAGTTCATAGAGTTTGCTGGTGATGCTGCTCCTCTCACCGACACAGAAGCAAGGCTGAGGTAACCCACTCAGCACGGCCCCCACACGGAGGAGGAACCCAGCGGTCTCCTGCTGCAGTCCCAGTTCTCTTGCACAGGCTCCTGAGCTACAAACAAGCAGCGTCCCTGGCTGAGAAAGGCGCCTCCCTTGCTCAGTCACTACTGCCTCCAACGTGCTTCGTCTCCAGAGACCAGGAGGTCTTCTTGGTGCAGCTCCTGGCATCTGGTATCTCCTCCCAACACATCCTAACGAGCACTGAGTCAGGAGGGGCCCACACTTCTCGGCTCAGAGCACAGAGGGCACAAATCACCGTGCCTGTCAGTGAGCACAGCTTCTCCTCGAAGTCCCGCTCTGACACATCAGCTCTGTGTGCATCTGCACTGCCACCGTGGCTGGGTTAGGAGGCTCCTGGGGAGGCGACGGGATTGCGGCAGAGGAGCTATGCTCCTCAGTGAATTCCTGCACTGATGTTCCCAGGTAGTTGTGCTGTCCAGAGGCCAGGTGGAGGTGGGCCACAAGGGTGCCGTGTCTTTGAGGGTGCATCTCTCACTGGCAGCATTCTCTGCAGCCCTGTTTCCTGGTCACCATTAAGTGGGCAGCTTTGCTCCTCCGTGCTCATCCTCTGTGATGATTCTGCCTTGGAACCAGCTGACCATGGACTGAAACCTCTGCAACTGTGAGCCAAGCAAACCTCTCCCTCTTGAGTTGGAGTGTCAGGTGTTTTGTGCCAACTGGAAAGCTGACTGGTACAAGCTCTTTATGCCCATACATTACCACCAACACACAATCCTCACATATGTGGGCTTGGGATCATTTCATTAAAATCTATGGATTTTAAGGGATTATGATTGATTTCATTGTTTAACAAAAACTTATGGAACTTACTATATATCAGGTCCTGTCCTAAATTTTAATGATAGAACACAGACCAGAACAAGACAACAAAAGTCTTTGCTCACTAGGAGGATATAACCGTATGCAAGGGTTGTTCAGATTTTCTCACAAAGATAGCAAATACCTCAGGCTGGCTGGGCCATCTGGTCTCTGCTACGACCACTGCACTCTGTTGCTGGACTGAGGAAGCAGAGATAAGATATTAATGAGTGGTAGTGGCAACTGTGCTCAATAAAACTATTTACAAGAAGAAATGGCCAACAATAGGGGTGCTGGTTTGTGACTTCTGGGAAGCAGATGATAAAACGGGGTTAGGCATGCAAGATATTTATCAGGGGAAACACTTGTGAAGGGTAAACGGAAGAGGCCAGAGGAGGAAAGAAGGAAGTTGGTGGATTGCAGCCCAGCCCTTGGGCAGCTGTGGCCAACGGGGAGCCCTCAGCCCAGGTTGTGTGTCAGCGGTGCTGTAGCTCCCGAGAGCGGAACCGAGCAGCCCTGCCACAATGGCTCAACCCCAGGGGTGGCGCCGGGGCCTGTGGCCTCTCCTCCGGCATGGTGGTGGACTTCAGAGCTCAATCCCTGGGGCTTCGGTCAGTTACACAGTCCACTGTCGCGGGGTGGAGAGGTGCGTTTCATGGCTGTAAGGAAAGCTCCATAGGAGATTAACCTGCTACACATGAAGATGTAGTTTAGAGATGTGTTGCCCTGACTCAAACTTGGGATCCAAGGGCTGCTGCATCTGCTATTATAAAACACATCACGTGAAGAAAGGACTCAAAGTAGTGGTTAACTTGGGCTAAATCCCACACTGAACACTGTGGTCACTGCACAAGTCATTGGAAGTTCTGGTGGGCACTTCCTGTAGTTACACAAGAGGAGAGTGCAAGGGCGCCTGGCCCTTGGGTTGCAGGCGGTGCTGTCTCAGGCGCCTGTGGATGGCATCAGAGGCCAGACGCCACTGTCACCCACGGGACAGGGCAGCTGCTGTCAGCTACAGGGAGCACGCAGGAGCTCTTGGTACCGCACTGTCTTTGCTTGGTCTGACGTCCGGCTCTGCCCTCTGTGGGGGCTGCTGACCATCCTGCAATTTTAGAGGAAGAAGGAGGCCCCAGGAAAAAGGCAGTCCTGAGGGGGGCTGTCTGGCTTTATCCCCCCACTACCTGTTCCACCTGCAAGTCACTCCACCTGTGTTTCATTGTCACAGCTTTAAGCAAAGGCTAGTGACGCTATTGACCCCACGGGACTTATAATTGTTATGCAGCTGATGTGCGTGGAATTGCTTAGAACAGGGCAGGGCACTGAGTCTCGCAGGGGATTTCAGTGCAGTCTGTTTGAGTGATAGCCCCACAGCTGAATCTCCCGGAGAAAGGAGGAGAAATAGAACTCCCTGACCGGAGGGACATACGCAGTCCCTGCTACTAATCCCTTCACAGAAAGGGGCTGCTGAGGAGCACAGACTCTAGTCCAAGTGACAGCCAGAAAGAAGGACGTGCATCTTCCCCCAGACACACATCCAGCCGGGGAGCTGTAGGCGCGGTACCACTGCAAACCTGGCTGTGCCGTCCTCGGTTAGGCTTCGTGTAGAAGGGCAGAAGAGGACTAGAGAGCAGGAGCTTCCTGCCTTTAAAACACCATCCTGTGAAATCTGGGCACGGAAATGGCCTACAAAGCCACTGCATGCGTTCTCGAAATAACGGAGGCCCCAGACTGAGTTTCAGGAGCAGCCGTGCTCACTAATATGAACTGTGGACGTACAAGCAAAGTCACTCAAACTTTTTAAGCCTAACCCCAGACAGCACAGAGGGCGTGCGGCTGCCAGCTCACTGCCCACACACAGCGCGCACGGACGTGGCCCTGCCTCGCCACTGCGTGTGTCTTCCTGGAGCACGGCCCACTCCACAGTCACACCTGTGCCCTCGGGCGGACCTTACACGAGAGGGTGTGGAGCCCCACAGCTGCGAATGCAGGGACAACTGAAGACACTGCCAGAAGCTGGGAAGGACGCACAAATTTCACCTCCTAAGGTGGACCTCCTAAGTTTGATTTTCTTCTCGGCCTGCCTCTTACTGCTAGTGCTGAGGGATTTGCGACTTTGTTTCTCAGGTTTCGCCGAGCTTAAAACTGTCGTGAAGTATCCAACAGACTCCCGCCGGCCTTCCATAATGCGCTGTAGCTGTTCCACGCAGGGAGCATAACTTGCTTTTTAATTATCTGAACTATTTTCCATAAAGCTCATGTCTCCTGGCTGGCAGAATGCAGAATGCAGAATGCAGAATGAGTTGTCATCGTTTAAAACCTTAGGCTGCATGCACCTTCACAGTGTGGAGATTAAATGTTACCACCAGGAACGTTTTCTCCGCAACTCTAATTCTTAGATGGGAAGAAAATAAAAACAACCCTAGGTAAAGGTTGCTGGGGATGGGAGAAGGGAAAAAACTCTGTCACGTCTGTCATAAAAGTTAGAACAGAAGTTACAGGAACTCAAATGTGCAGTCCAGGATGTTGTGTTTTTCAGTTTATGAACACATGAGAGCGTTTTGTAGCAGAGGGGAAGCAGTCTGCTCTATACAAATAAGAGAGAAAAGTCACATTCCCTACACCACAAGAAGCCACACTTGCTTGGTGTGATAACACATGACTAAACAAGTCTGGTAATCATGGTCTCAATATGTAGTTTCTTCCTCTCCTTCTTCCTACACTTATATGAGGATAATGTAAAACAGAAATATTTTCTGAAGCCTATGTGATTTATTTCTCTGACTCAGTCATCAATAAACTTCATTTTCAACTTGGTAATGATTGGTATTTCTAATCAAGGCGCATAGAAAAAAAGAAAAGAACAGTGCAGTTTTGAGTCCTGAATTCTATTTATTACTTGCAACAGCATAGAAATCACAAAAATGACTCAAATGTCCTGACCTACATGCTCTAAGTGGCTTTTATACACATCCTTCATACGTGGGAGAGTGTGTGTTTACGTAAGGTGCTCCAGCCATAGGTACTACCATTGTTATTTCTCTCTAAACACTGGCATATGATCGTGATGCCACTAATGCAAATGAGATGCAATAAAATCGATATAAACTGCACGTCGTTTTCGTGTTTACGTGTTTCAGCTGGGCTGCAGAATTTTACCCCACTGACATAACATCAGCCCTTGAGTTTCAGAACGGTGACAGGAGCAACTGTTTCTGTAGCCACAGGGGCATGAAGAGCTCATCTTTCATCATCAAAACCCTGTCTGCTGTTTGCACAAAGCGGCAAGGGTGCGTCTGCAACTCTGATGATTAAAATGCATCCTAGTTTTCATTGATCTGTGCTCAAAAAGCATTTCGTCATACCTGTTAGGGGACAGATAAGCAAACAGGCATTTCTGATCGGTCCACTGGGGGCTTTCTTTTAGCTCACAGACTTGCAGGTGCATAAAAGCAAGCATTACCAGAGACGCAAGAAGGCAGGTCCAGAGTGAGAATCCAGCCGCGAATGCGACCCGATGAGTTCTTGTATTTGACATCAGACCACATCAAGGTTGGTGGATGCAGTGTATTTGAATTTAGGCGCAGATTAGGCCCTAAAGCAGCCCTGTGTTTGTTAATACACCAACCCCTTAAATCCAAAGAAGTAAGTGCAGCATGTCAGGTGGTCTTGTTATTGCCAATCAACAAAAATGTCTGTTTCCCCAGTCTGCGCTGAAATGTACATTGTGTTTATGAAGTATGCTAAAGAATGAAAATGAGGAAGCAGCTCAGGGTGCAGACTGTGGCCCAGAGCCCTACCTGGGTCTCCACGTCCGTCAGCTTCCGGGTCTGCTCTGCAGTCTGTGTCAGAAGGCTGGTCCCAATCTCCAGCATGGTGGCCGTGTGGTTCTGAACTGCGTTCTGCTGTATCTGTGCCATCTCCGACTTCATATTTTCCACAATGTAATTCTCAAGCTGCAAGAGACAGAGCACAAGCACGCTACGTTATGAGCAAGTCCTCTGGGTCAGGTCACATAATATTTACAATGACCAAAAAGACATAGCCACAAGCGGGCCATCTGGCGGGGGCCCCTGTGTCTGGGGAGCTGGGCAGATGGAAGCGGAGCGCTCGGCAGTCTGGCTGCTGGCAAACCCTGCTCTACTGATGCACGCAGACAGGAATCCCTGCCTTCCTGAGCGTTTGTCCTGGGATTGCGCATTTTTGTCGCTGACAGGATCTCATCTAACCACACAGCAAAGACAGGAGAAAGGCTGTCGGACTCACTGTTCCTTTAACTCCTTCTGCCAAGGAAGGGGAGTCAGAGGGGTCAGTGATGAGCTCAGGTCGCCCGGTCAGAATCCAACAGTGAGCAAAGAAGTTTACTCTAAGGTTCCGTTCTCTGGTCTTTTCATGATGCCGCACCAACCACCCACCTCAGCCAAGTCCCGCCTCTTGCTTGCATTTCCTTTGTGATCAGCAAAAGGCTGCACTGCCCAGGGATGTGCTCCACAGGCGAGGGAGGAGGGCAGGTGCCCGGGCAGCCTTCAGTGAACTTAGGACCAATTCAAATGCAGGCAGCGACGAGGAGCCGGACGCCAGCTGCACGTGATTCCCGTGCTCATTCACAGGCTCAGACTGGGCTCTGAAAGCGCGGCCTGGGAAGCAGCATTTGCACTTGCTGCCCTGGGTGGAATGTGTTGCTTCACAGTGCACCTCGGTGAACACCACAGGGGCCGGGAAGAAGGGTTGAGGGCACCCAAGAGGGGATGACCGCCACCCACAGAGGAGGGGAACCTGGGCCTGCTTGGAGAGAGAGAAGCAGCCAGCACCCTGTCAGCGCCCTCCGCTCCCGGCCCTTGCAGTGATCGCATTTTGTTACCAATTACGTGTGTGGGAATTGAGTCCCAGAGACACCAGGTCCAAGGCCGCACAGCACCGGCAAGCCGGCCTTGGCCCTAGTGCTGAGTCCTCACCCCTCACCCCAGCTCTCTCGCCACTTGGACAGCGTCGCCAAGTCGAGCTTAGCAAGCCGGTTCCAAATCACTAACAGCTATGTGATTTTTACCAGTTTAGTGAACCACGGTGCGCCCACAACTTCACCATCCATAGTAACATCATCATCATGTAATAAATATAGTCTCCGAGTAAATTCCCCTTCGTGAAGCTCTGGCAGCTCAATTTCTAACATCATCCCTTGCTTATTTCTATTAATCATATATGAATATGCCCCAAACCAATAAAAACAAAGCTTAAAATAAAGCTCATGTTGTTATTAATAAATTCTGAACTTGTTCTCTGTCATCTCTCAAATCAGAAGTGCACAGGGAGCAAGAGGAATTCAACCTGTGAAAGTTTGCTATAAAAGTGCAAAACGGACCAGAATAAATATCTGAAAATTATTGTAATAAAATTCAAGGTCTCTAGGCCAAGTTCTGGCTTTTCTCCAGGTATATGAACACATGTAAGCAACATGGGAGAGTTGCAGAAAGAGTGTGGTCGGAGCTGCAAGCATTTGGCATCGTGGATTCCATGTCACGTTTCCCCTTCCTAGTCACTTCCCCTGACTTCCTGCAGGAAGCGGTCTTCCATCCCTTCAGAATAAGTGCTATGGTCTTCTAGACCCTCCTAGCTTCCAGAGGGGCTGCAAGTTCAAGCCTGGCAAGCCACAAGGAATTGCTTGTGCTTAGCAAGCACGAGTTCTCATGAGTGGACAGGCCTTATAACCAAGGTCATTAAAACTCTGTTCTGGAATTGAGTCCAGTGAGTTCATGCAAGAACTTCTTCCTTCGTGATTAATATGCTGGTAACACAGACGGCTGATGCTGTTGATGCCAAATTTTACCACCAAAAAACCAGAGCCAGCCTAAGAATGAAGTCAATTCAGAGAAAACGACGGGGAGATGGACAGATCCACGGGTGGACGGAGGCAGCCAGGTGACACAGACAGAAGGCTGTGTGTTCAGCATCCAGCTCTGGCCATGCATGCAGTCAGGTCCACCCTTGGGCAGTTGCCAGTCCCATGGCCTAATGACCTCCCCAACAGCCAGGGTTTCTTCTTCTTTCAGTCACATCGACACATGCTTTTAACACAACCCCAAAAACGTCAACTACTACATTTGATAGACGCTTAACTATAGAAGCCCAAGACAGGTACCACTAGCAGATGCTCCTTGCTTGTCCTGGGGATTCGAGCTCCTCACGGAGATGTGTGTTCCTTGTGAAGATGTCACCTGCCATGCACAGCTGGCATTGTCCACTGCCTGGTACACGGCAGTCACTGAGTTAAGTGCTTCCCTTTTATAAAAGGAAAAACCTAGACAACTCCACATGTTACAGCAGCTTTGTAGATGAGACTCTTGAGGCTTTGAAACCCACACATGAGCTGCAGGAGACCCTCACCCCCACCTCCAGTGGGCACATTCTTCACCACCAGCACATCCCGCCTCGACTCCTGACTCCGCCTTTTAACCTGTGGCTCCTCATGGTTAGAACTACATGGAGGGCATGGAGATTTGAGGGACAGGCAGCGTGCGGAGGTTTCCAAGGGCATGCACTGGACAGCACTTTTCAGTGCTTCAGTGGAATTCTGATCCAAGCAAGGAGGCTTGTTTCTCAAACTGTGGTGGGGGCACACCCCCCGAGTGAGAGCTGGGGGTTAAGTTGAGAAGTTGAGAAGTTGCTGAGCACAGAGCTGATGAGTTATAAAGTGGGAGATCCCAACCTGAACGTGAAGCAATGTGCTCACACTGCCATTGTCAAGGCCTGACTCTAGCGATTGACAAACTACTGGGCAGACGAGCCTGAGAGGACGCTGTTGGACTGGATATGAAGCACGATGAGAAGTAATGGCAGATGCTTCCTTAAGCAAGGAACGTGCGTTTCACACACACCATCTCACCCTTGCTTCTCACCCCACAACGTGAGCCTAACTGCACTTCCCAGCTTGAGAAGCAGCCTCGGGGGTGACTGCTCTTCTAATCTCCACTCACCTAAGAGTTGGTTCCTCGTGTGTTGCTGGACTGGCTGCCTGCTGAGGACGGATTTCATTTGCGTCAGCCCTTGTGTATTCATTTCTTACTCCTCCGAGAGGAGCAGCACTGTCAGAGTGAGTTCTCTCTTTATGTACAGGGGGCCGAGTGAACCCGTGGTGAGATAAGCCCTCAAGGCCAGGGGGGCATGAATAAAGGGGATCGCTGGAAATACGATGAATTTTTCTTAGTGTATAAGTTCACTTGTTCTGCTCATTCTGTTTCTTATATGCCACTGTAAAGCACAACAAAGCAAATGACAGCTACGCACTAAACCTCTCCTGAGGCCGGGTGAGCATGGAGTTTGTCAACTCTCATTGTTACTATTTTCTGTGGTTTGCTAGTAGGAAACAGAGGCTTGTGGAAGTCAAGTGAGTTGTCTAAAATCACTCAAGAGCTGGTGGCCGAACTGGTTCCCTGCTTTTTGATATTGACACCAGTACCACAGATGCATTCTGAGAGTGTGCAACATTCACACAGCGAAAATGTAAAGCGAACACTGGAAATGACGCAGAGAAACTTGTTCACAGATGAAGAATGGTTCAAATCTGTGAGTTAAACCTTCGAATCTGATTCATGGCTGTGATATCCTGGGAAATGTTGCAGGTGGTGAGAAAGCAAATAGCCAGCCAACTGTATGACAAGCGGTGTTGCTAAATAGACAAGAAAAACTATCCTTAAGAAGTGAGGATTGTCACTGAGCATCTACTGTAGTTCCCTCCTAAACTGTTGCCTCCATCTTTTGCTGTGATGAACGGTGAGTGAATACTGCCACTACCTGTCGCAAGAAAGAGGGGACCGGGGCTGCACTCAGAATCACAGCCTGGGCAGCCTGGGGGCCAAGAGAAGCAGCGCCGGTGTGAGACCCCGACATCCTGCCCACCAAGCTCATTTGCTGTCTTTTCCCCACAAGAGATCACTTCAAAGGCTCTCTCAAAGCACAGCATATCTTAGAGCACCAGGAATACAATTTCTCCATGTAATTCTTAAGCAAATAACATTTTAAACCCTATAATAATTGACAAAGGCATCCTTGGCTTAAAATATGTTGTAGATTAAGGGGACCCTGGCTGGATGCAGATGCATATGGTATTACTCAGTTAGAGTAGAATAACCATGAAGTAAAATAAAATGTTAAATATGGGAAAGTCATAAAAAGGTAAAACAATGCAAAAAATGCCTTCAACATTGATGGTTTTATCTAATATTATTGTTTCATAAATCAGTGGCAATACTGAAAATGCAGCTATATCCAGGTTTACGACCTTATAAGCAGAGCCTGTGGAGGCCAAGCATGTCATTTGCAGGCATTTCTATGACTGTAGCTCTTCTTTCAAAGTGGAAAGTTTAATTGTTCCTGCAGATGATGGATCTAGTTAGTTAATATCTGCAGCAGTTCCTGTGCTGACATCCAGGACAGGGAACCATTTTTCATTTGGGCATCTGAAGCCATTGGCAAAGGGAAGCTGAAAGAGGTAGCAAATGTTATGAGCGCCAGCAGTCCCGTTTCATCGGTACAACCTCTTAGGTTCAGAGAGGCTGCAGGAGGCAAGGTGAAGTGGCTAAGAGATGTCAGATGCCAGGACACAGCCAGTTGTGTGGGAAACAGGGCGTCAGCCACACTTCCCGTCAGGTTCCACAGCTCCTACGACTTGCTTCATCCATCTGCAGGCTCCTGACCTGGGCGCCTGTCGCAGCACCAGCTCATACCTGCTGTCTCCTGCCCAGACAGCCCCTGTGCTTCTCTAGCTTTGCTCTCCAGTCTCGGTGCCCGCCAGCTGCCCCTCGGTCACTGAGCCTCGAAAATCCATCGATTTTATGCTTTGAATGCATCATCTCACAAATGGCAAAAACCAGAATTAAATGCCCCAATTACCCCATGTACGCCCAGGTTGTATGTGACAGTCTAAGTGTGTCTGTGATGGAGGCGTGCTGTGGACACAGCC